CAGTACTTAATCCCTAAGCACTAAAATAAAGTGTTTGTAAAAGAAAAGAAAAAAAACGAGTTCAGTTCTTCAGCAATGTAAGAACGCTGAAAAACTGGACCGAATAAAATAGAAATAATAGAAACTCTCAAACACTCAATTGAAGCTGATGAATGATGAACTTGATTTGCAGCAGCTCTCTTATCTTCAATTGATTGCTTGAGTAGGCTTATATACAACCTCATTAAGGTAAGGAGTCTTCACAGTTCTTCCTTTACCTTTTAGGAGTCAATTTCCTTCTCAATTGATTCCTTTCTGATTTGGACGAAATCCTCCATGTAAGGTAAGTTTCCTTGATGTAGAAATTGTGTATGTTATTTTGGAGTCTTCAGAATTGAGCTTCCAATGGAATCTTGTGTTTTCAAAATCTGGTAAGAACATGTCTTTCCAAAATTAGCCGATCTTCCAAATCTTCAAAGATCTTGTGGTGAATCTTTCCAAATCCTCCTTAGATCTTCTCATGAACGTCCAGAACTCTTCTTGTATGGAAAGCTCATCCTTTCATAGTCCTTGCCACCTATTCCTTGTCCTACAAGAAAGAAAGAACTAATTATGGCATGTGGCATATATGGTAAGTAAATATATAAGATATATATTATGTAATCCTTCTCCTAAAGGATTAGGATTCCATAATACATACTACAATAAATATATACCATATATTATTAATAATAAATATTAGGAACTTAATTGAATCACATGTAAATAAACAGAAAAACTTCCCTTTAATTTATTTTGCTTGCTTAACAATAAATCTTCTAGAAAACACTTAGATTTGTCGGACATGATGCCAAACTAATGTTCTTACAAAAATTCTTAAAAAGAATTTGACTGTTTTCAGTCTCTTTTTCAGCAAATTATAAGTACACGGTTTCTGAATTCATCGTATCATTGCAACTTCACTTTTAATTTTTCCAAAAAAAAAAAAAAACCCACGCATTCTTTCTATTGAAAAAATGAATAAACCATTTGGTTTAATCAATTGAGGAACTACAATACATATACATAATATTTTAATTTGGAAATATGTATCGTCGATTGGAAACAAAAGCATTTTATTCAGAAGGTTAATTTGTGTATCGTTCTTCAGAATCGAAACGAAACAAAGTTGAGGAAAAACAAGAAATGCGCATGTGGATATTATGAAAGCCCTAAAATGTCGGAAAAGTTTGTATTTTACAGGTGAAATGGATTATTCATAACCTTTTTGACCGATTTAGATCGTTCGATTACCGATTTCGTGCATGTGGGTCGTGTTAGTGTATTTACTGAAAGCCACATCTTTAATTTATAATTATTAGTTAATTACCTTGTTTGGCGATTAGCGGATAACAGATAGCGGATAGCGGATTGTATCAACAGATAGCGGATAGCGGATTATATTAGCTGATTTGACCAGCGGATTGCATTAGCGGTTTTAAATAAGTGTTTGGTAAATAGCTGAAAGCTTATAGCTGTTTGACATTGCAAAATGACCAATAATGACATTTTATTATTTAGGGTATATTATTTTAATAATAATATATTGAAACATTTGATATTATTTAGTTGGTAATGTATAAATATATATATATATATATATATATATATTAAAATTTACTAACACTTGACGAATAAGATATGAATTTTACATTTTTCAAGATAAATTAATCATATGGAAGACATATTATTATTTATTAGCACCATAAACCAATGTAGCTTGTAAAATAAATAATACAAATTAAAAAGTTCCAAATAAATAATTTTTGTGAATCCTCTATCCCAAAAAGCTGCTCTAATGAGCTTTTTCTAAATTAGAGTTTTGGGCCCAAAAAACTTATCAAACAAACTATTTACCAAACATGCTCAATAGCAGATTTGACGGGTTTTTATCTTCAATCTGCTATCTTCCAAACGGGGCAAATATTGTTTACTCTTCTCTATAATAATAATAATACTTGCTTATTTCGAATGGGCAACTTTACTCTCTACTGAGATCAACCCAAAATTAAAATTACAGAGTCAACTGAATACCTTAAATTAGTTGTATTTTAATTTAATTTTCATTGGAAAAACGAATGTTGTACGTGTTTGCCATCAGAGGCTACCCCTAATTTTTTTAATATAAAAAAAGGGGGAAAACAAAAAAGGCTGACGCTATTCCTAGAGGAAAACTATACCCCTGTCCTTCCACTGAGACAGCGCCACGTCCACAACTTACGTCACCAATGACGTCTCAAACTGAAGTGTAAATATATAGTGGGTCAACTCGTACTCTCTAACCAAAACATATCCCCAATATCATTTCTCAACGCGTTTGATCATACGTGGTTGTTTTTTGTGTTTCGAAATCTTACTTGGCGAATAATTATATTTTGTAATTAGGTTTAGACAAATATTATTGATATATTAATAATTAATAATCTAAGTTCGAAAAAAAAATAATCTAAGTTCGAACATTCCATAAATATTATTTAGTTAACTTAGGTACTTTAATATCACTTGTACTAATATAACCATTTAATTCTTTGTAATTTTACATAGTGAGGCACTAGTGACTAATATATCCCCGACTTTTGATTTGCTTATTTCAATTAGCTATTGAATTGTAAATGTATTTTGAAAGTTGGTAACTTTTGTATTTCTTATCGGTTTTACATATATAATATATCAAATTAATCATCTTTTCATGATCTTCGATTTGACATCCATATTGTATATATAAAACAAATAAATAATATTTACCTTTATAATAATAAAAAATAATATTTATTAAATTTTATTAGAAAAATAAAATTATTTCTCAGTTGATATATTTATGTTTAATATAGTTATATGTTGTAAGTTAACAAAATTATTATAATATAACACAGGTAAATCGCACAAATAAAAAGTGGCATACTAAATATATAATAATATATATATATATATTTTTAAAAAAAAGTATTTAAATTTCCAACTACATTTTTCTCATTAATTTTAGATTTTAAGAAAGAAAAAAAAAATTACCAATGTAATACACGGGCGTTCGTTGTATTAGTATGTTTAATGTTTGTAATATTAAATATCAAACTTTTTTTTATATTATTTTTTGAATTATAATTTTATAACATAAGACCAATCAATATATATAATCATAGCTAACCTAAATCCCCACTTCCCTTCTCCCCCTCTGCCCCCCTCTCTCTCTCTCTCTCTAAAACACACACACACATACAAACACACACACATAATCACTTTCTCCTTCATGCAACAAGCGCTTCCATCTACAGATGGGGCCGGCGAATATCCGCCGGAAAACAGCGTCTCCGGCAACCACGGCGGGAAGAAGGTGAGGGATCTTGTGGCGGAGAACGCGGTGGTGGTTTTTGCCAGGGAGGGCTGCTGCATGTGCCACGTGGTCAAGCTTCTGCTCCACGGGCACGGCGTGAGCCCCGCGATTCGTCTTTTCAGCGAGGGGGACGAGGCCGACGTGAAGAGGGAGCTGTCGCAGTTCCTCTGGCGAAGTGGAGGCGGCGGGGCGCCGCCGCCGCAGTTTCCGGCGGTGTTTGTGGGCGGGGAGCTGTTCGGAGGAGTGGACCAGATCATGGGGGCCCACATCTCCGGCGAGCTGGTGCCCAGGTTGAGAGCGGCTAGGGCTTTGTGGCTTTAGTCATCTTTTGTTACTCCTAATTTTGTGTTTTAATTTCTTATTTTGATGATTTGGCCCCAAGTGGTGATAAATCAATAATTTGAAGTTTTTTATGCCAAGTTTTAATAATGGCTTGGTTATGGTGGGATTTCATATTATATACTACTATCTATGTCCATTTTTATTTTTTTTTAAATATAGTTGTATCCACCCTTATTCACATTTCTCAAAACCAAAAATAATGAATTCCAAGCTAATTTTAATGAAATAGAATGAAAAACTTGATCAAAGGGAAAAATCGTCACCAACAGGAGTTGACTCAAGTGGTAAGCAGCTTGATGTTTCTTAATCAAGGTTTCGGGTTCGAGTCCTTGTGAATGCACAAAACTCTTGTCGGGAGACTCACCCACCATTGTCAGGTGTGCGACCCGGGTCGACCAATGGATTAGTCGGGCAATACTCCGGATACCGTGGCTGGCTACCGAAAAAAAAGGAAAAAATCGTCCACAATCGTTTTGTAGGACGTGATAAGGAAAATCGAAATCTTAACACAGCAATATGTATACACATTCTTTGGCCGGTTCTATAATTATATCCAACGATTACATATGCATATACTTGAATTGAAAAAGTTAGGATTGTTGACTGTAGTAGAATCACAGTCAACAATCCTAACAATTTTCGATTCTAACTCCTTACCTCAAAACACGGTTGAACCGGGCAAATAATGTGTATACTGTATACAAAGACAAACCTACATGGAACCAACAATGAAGGTGTGTAT